AGAGAGGGGTTAATACAGTCCAGACACACTGACTGGACACTCCAGGACATTAACACTGCACTGAGAGAGAGGGGTTAATACAGTCCAGACACACTCACTGGAAACAGAGTGAGGGATTAAGAGAAGAGTTATTAAAATGAAAAGCCGATACAGATATGGTTGTAAAGTTAATGACTACTAAAGATAACTTACCAGCTGCCTACTGGGTGATTTCTCACAAGCAATGGAAAAAGACCCTGCTATAATAAACTGAAAAGGAAAATGCACACAAATAAGAGAGTCATTAAGGTGTTTTTTTTTTCCTGAGATGTTTAGTCAAATTTGAGTATAAAATCAATGACAAAAAGGAGAACACGGTGTTAATGCAAATACACTTTCAACAGGAAAAAGAGGGACTTCTTCCACTAGGCTATTAAAAATGACTTGTTGTTACTCTGTGTTGTACAGTCATGTGAGGAGCCAGGGAATTCCTGCTCCTGATACAGGTTTGTCAGTCTCCGGGCGTGACAGTGCTGGTCCTGGCAGCCTGCTCACCTGCTGGTGTTTGTTTCAGCTGAGCTCGTACCGATCTGAATCCTTACATGACAAGCTTTTATTTTCTCTCCGAATGCAGAGAGTTTGAGCTTACGTATGAAAGGCAAGAGATGAAAGGCAAACGTGTCACCTCATCAGCAGGTTGGTGTTAGAAGTGGGATCAGGGTCTTCTATAGCACTGTCCCGTCTAGCTCTGGTGTCGGCTGACCCGTGGAAAATAAGGAAAGGGACTACAAGCCTGACTGCACCTAGAACACTAATTGAAATTCTGTGTTTGTCAGTTTTCTACTTGTTAAAATTTCCTTTCTTTCCTCTAACGGGTTTCTTTAGTCTCCCTGCTTTGTTTCGCCGCAGTATTTTTTCTCCTCTTTTGTGGAGGAGACAGACTGGCTGGCACACACACAGGCAGACACAAACACCGAGGGCTACGACTGTACCAGCACGCCGATGAGGACGGGGGTGATGAGAACTCTTGGGGGCTGGAGGTCAGTGTAGTAAACGGGAATGGCCAGGAGCAGCTGGAAGATTCCCAGGAGCACCGTCACCACCTGCAGGACAGACGGAGACAGCAGTGAAGGAATGGGATAGGACAGGATTTTACAACCCTGAACAGGTCCGGCGCCGGGATCTGCTTGTCAGACTGGGATTTATATCGGCTGCTTCGAAAATGAATCAATCCATCAATCTATTGATTACATTTATAAGCAGTGATTTTCATGCATAGTAACTCTCTCTCCCAGAGACGAGACACATGCTCAGATTCACACCCCACATGTGACCAGATCAGATCACAAGGTGGTAATAGAGGTGTTTTTGGGCTTCTGCGCCTGCCGGTGTCTCTCGCTGTCACTCAGTCTGCCTAATCCAAGTCTTTCTCCATCTTTCAGACTCGTAATTCCAATGGTTGAAGGACTCCCACCCCTAGGGCCTCGGGATCCAAGATGCAATGGAGGCGATGGACTTTCGGACCCGCAGTCCCGGTGCTTGGCATCGTCCCTGGGTCAGACCTGGGCAAGAGCAGCAGACATTGACGTTAACGAGGACCAGAGAGACACTGATGGACATGGAGAAGATACGGTGTGAAGTGATCTGGAAAAACAATTCGCTTGTTATTTCCTTATTGTATATGGCAAAGGAAGAAGGGGAGAGGCCAGAAGAGCTGGAGCTGCAGGAGAGGGTTGTCACGGTTTTCTGGACACAACGAGACTTGTGTACCTCAGTTTGTGAATGAAACATTTGTGCTCAGTCTCCCCCCCTCCTCTCCCTCCTCCCCCTTCTCCCCCTGCCCAGTGCTGTATGACAGCACCCAGCAGCCCTGGAGACACTACATTGCGGCACTATTCAGCATAGCTGGAATAGTAATACAATTGGAATAGAGCAGCACAGCTGGAATAGTAATACA